GTTTAGTTGGGCTATTTAAATTGCGGTGGCACCATTCGTCCGAATGCTTTGACCCAGTTATAAACGACCGAGATCTTTACACACGCAAACATCAACGTAAAATAAAACACTTGTAAATAAAATTTGTGGCGTTTTCCGTAACATCATTGCAAAGCCGAACTTGTCCGATGGCCGCCCCGAGGGCATGATGTAGAAAACGTGCCTGCTGAACACGTGTTAATTTTGTTTTACACGAAATTCCCATGTCACCATCTACATCACCGTCATGTTCAAAACGACTATAACACTATCAAGAGCGTATAAAGAAGGAGAGCGTACAACGGTAAAATGCTGAAACCATGTTGCAGTATTAGTCGAATTAATAAACTTTTTCCGTCCTTCTTTATACGCTCTTGACACTATTTATATCTAACACAGCGGTTTCGGCAAAAAAATAATTAATGCGTAATCATACGATGTTCAGTGATTATTGTAGTGCTGCTGCCCATATACTTACTTGTGGTAAAGTAAATGCAGTTGTGACGCACGGAAAGGTGCCATTTTGTCTTGCTATCCTAATAACATGTTCTACTTCTATTCTGAGCGTAATCCGTGAAATCTGAGCCGTTGTTGATCCCTCCGTCACTAAGTGAAACCGTTAGCAAGACTGCAGTTGCAGTTTGGAGTGCCTAGTCCTCTGATTCGGATTTCGGCGAAAAACCCAGATTTTCACCGCTCATTATCTCAGCGTAGGGGCATCGTAGGGACAAGCGGTTTGTTTTATATTAGCATGGTAGGACAGCTAATCAATAATACTGTAAAGAATCGTCAAAATAAAACGGGAAAGTTTATTTATTCGACTAATACTGCAACATGGTTTAAGCATTTCACCGGTATACGCTTTCCTTCTTTATACGCTCTTGATATTATCAATGTGCTTGACCGTTGTAACGCCACGCAATTAAGAAATCTTATTTTGGAATATAATAGAATAATATTTATGCAAATCGTGAAGCCCCGCCTCTATATTGCTCTTGTAAATGTCGCCGACCCTGCGCGTTGTGATGTTGTGTTGAAATGCAGTTGTGACGCACGGAAAGGTGTCATTTTGTCTCGCTATCCTAATAATATGTTCTACTTCTACTCTAAGCGTAATCTGTGAATACTAGGCCGTTGTTGATCCGTACGCCCTCCTCCGTCACTACCGTCCTCTACTCTCCTCACTCCTACTCTCCTCACTCCTACTCTCCTCACTCCGTCACTACTCTCCTCCGTCACGCTCTCCTCCGCACTCCTCCGTGAAACCGTTAGCAAGACAAATTGCAACTAGGCCTGCAGGCATTCTCGGTGTATATTCCACGCGCTATATATATATGTCATATTATATGTTATTATTATATGTCATATTATATGTCATTATATGTTATTATTATATGTCATATTATATGTTATTATATATGTTATTATTATATGTCATATTATATGTTATTATATGTTATTATTATATGTCATATTATATGTCAAGATTTGTCATTATTAACCCCTGATAATATCAATAATAGATTATTTGATATTATAAATACATGTATATAGGGCCTATATATATATTATTTAATTTGCGCGACCGTTGTGACGCAATGCAATTGAGAAATTTCTTTTTGGAATATAATTGAAAATTTTAATGAAAATCGTTTATTATATATATATATATATTATCAAGAGTATAAAGAAGGAGAGCGTACAACGATAAAATGCTGAAACCATGTTGCAGTATTAGTCGAATTAAACTTTCCCGTTTTATTTTGACGATTCATTGCCGAAAACTGACTCGAGATCAGTCAGTTACTGTGACTGTCTCTCGAAGTGTTATAACTTCGGTAAACCTCGCGTGTTTCCGTCAATGATTGACAAATGGAATGAATGACGTCTGTTATTGATTGCCATAGTGATGACCCTCACCTGTGCCCACCTCACGCCCACCTCACGCTGGATGTATAGTAAACTCTGGTAGTATGACGTGAGTCAGTGCCACTATGGCGCTACACAGCGGCGACCGGAAGCAACACACTAGCCACACTTCGAGAGTGGGTCGCAGTACTGCCTAATGTCTAGTCGGTGTTCAGCGAAAATACCAGATTTTCACCGCTCATTTTCTCAGCGCATGGGCATCGTAGGAACATGCGGTTTGTTTTATATGAACAGGTAGGACAGCTGATCAATAATACTGCAAAGAATCGTCAAAATAACACGGGAAAAGTTTATTAATTCGACTAATACTGCAACATGGTTTCAGCATTTTACCGTTGTACGCTCTCCTTTATTATATGCTCTTGATATTATGTATATATGTATATTATGTATTATGTGCCCCATCTCTATATTGCTCTTGTTAGTGTCAGCGACCCTGCGCGTAGCCTATAGCTTTTCTAAAGCTGGGTTTACACTACCGACTTTGTGTTGGCGAATTGGCAAATTGGACCAACTTCCCAACTATACAACCGACAATCGGCAGTGTAAACGCAAAAGTTGCGCGACGAACCAATCGATAGCAACTAGTAGGACGATTAGAACATGTTCTAGTTTTGCCAACTCGGAGTTAGCGAATTGGGAAGTTGGTCCAGCTCGCCAATTCGCCAACATAAAGTCGGTAGTGTAAACCCAGCTGAAACGATATATACCATGCTGCAGGTACCTGGCCATCAGCAGACCCATGAGCTATCACAAGTGGAACACCAAGAGATGCGCCGCCATGATGATCACGTGCGTCTGGGTGCTGGCGACCGTCATCTGCATCACGCCGCTGTTCGGCTTCGGTGTGCGCGAGCAGGGCATCCGCAACCAGTGCCTGCTGACGGGCGGCGTCGGTTACGTCATCTTCTCGGCGGCCGGCTCGTTCTTCGTGCCGCTGTGCGGCATCTTGTTCATGTACTATCGCATCTACGTGCTCGCCGGCTACCACACGCGCCGCATACGCAACGAGCGCAAGTACATGAAGGAGATCTCGAGCTACTACAGCGGCGCAGGAGACGCTCGGCGTGCCCGTGAGTCCCGTGACGTCACGCGAGCAGACGGACGGCGGCGCCCAACGGTCCCGACAGACGAACGGCGGCGCCCAGAGGTAACGACAGACGAACGGCGGGGCGCAGAGGTCAAGAGGGAGCCTGTACGTCGGCGGCGCGCATCGAAAACTCCGCACTCGGTTCCGCCAGCTCTCTGAATGTCAGCGCAGTCTCTTGGCAGTTCTCTTCTGAACTCTGTCGGATGAATCGTTGCCATAATTACTTCTTGCCATTAGAACACATGGACGCGGACAACTACATAATACTCTGTAGATGAAGTCGTTGGCGCGAGCAATTTTCACAAAATACGTTGACTGTTTTCTGTAGAGTGCAGTGATAGTGTAAAGTGTCATCATGGTATGGTAAAGTACGGAGTTAACACTCGACAGGAATGCTTAGGAGCGAAGAATATTTTTGTAGTGGCAAATAATGTTCTACTACTAGTATGATATCCTAATAATAATTGGGTTGATTATGCTCATAATGCTGATGGTAGTACATATAATGCTGATAATGAGATGATGATGATGATGATGATAATAATAATAATAAGGATGATAGCCATAATAATAATAATAATAATAAAGATGCTGATTATGATAATGATGATGTCGACTAGAAAAAATGCTAAGCAGATAAACCTAAGCTTTAGCACAATCGAGGACCGTCAATAATACGTGTTAAACCTATTCCTGCCTTCTGGGTCATGGGTAGCATGGTGACTGTGCAGCATGGTGTATTCTATGTTTCTATACGTACGCGTTGGTGGTATGGTATTGCCTGTCGTCGCAGCGTTAGTGTGGTTGCAGACTCCTTCAGAGATATTTTTCAGCTCAGCAGAGAGCATCGTTTTCGAATCTTGAAGCGAAGCGGAAATCTGACGTATCGCCTCCTGCATGTCCTGCTGCTTTCCCCCGAGTGTCAGCGCCATCTGGCGCACGTCAGCGGCCTTAATCTGTTCTCCGCCGAACTTTGTGACGTTGGTCAGTAGACGGTTGTAGAGCTGAACCAACGTCGCAAGTTCCGACGATAGATCCTCCGCATTCGTGTCGGTCGGTCGGGAATGCAGCGACGCCACCTGTGCTGCTATCGTGCGGATGTCGCCACTGATCACGTCCGTTCTGGTCGCAACCTCGCCGAGAAGCTGCTTCACCGCTTCCCCGCCAGGCGTCAGGCCATTCTCTATTATGCAGAGAATTAGCGCATAGAAATGCATAGAATGCATTAGAATATAGTGAGACCATCGTGCAGGGTATAGCGATCTATCATTGTTGATGCAATTCAAAAGCCTTTTATTTCCCAACTTTGGATAATATCCATCATTCTCTCGTATGACCCAACGCTCAAACACCTCGTGTGCAGTATATTCGACCACAGTTGCGAACGTTATAGTACACCTGGTTAGATGATACCTGGCATGCTTACCGCATGAGGTGGACTATTATTAATGATCACTGTGACACTTGCGTAGATGAATTGTGAACAATAATTGGCTGCCACTTGGAGGCAGTCTCCGGTATTGTCCGATGACTCAGTATCGTTAAGGAGCCAGGCGAAGCAATTTAGATTATATCGTTTGACGCGCGCAGATCAAATAGGCGCGATATCAATTTCACCATGCTGTTATTGCAGGGGGCTTCCCGATTGCTGTGAGTATACGGCAAATGTGTGATTGCACGAGGATGCAATTTCGCAATATCTAGGCCAACAATTCGACATTCGATTTCGACCATTCATGCGCCACAATAAGAGTATAGGGTTAAGTGATTAACATGTACATCAGCCGACTAATTGCACATTCCACGCGCGTGCTATCGACCATAGTGATGTGATGTGTTGATCGAGCTTCAACTACAGGGTCATGCACGAAAGAGCTGTTACACAATTTCGATTAAGCGCTGCAGCGCGTTGTTGCACTACGTGCACGAACAGTAACGGTATAACTGAATATACGATACTTAACTAATAACATACACGTTTTCGCTAATTTTCAAAAGGAGCCTATCTAATACAGGTGTAATTATAAGTTAAGCCTTGGCTGTAATTTAGACATTGTTATCTTGCTGCAAAATGGCGGGCACGTCGCCCATTGTAGTTCGCGTTTTGATGTTGCGGTTGCCTACGATAGCGGCTATCAGCTGCTGCTTGTACGTCTGCCAGTCAAAGTTCTCCTCGTATCGTCTGACGATGTCGTCTTCGGACGGAAGGGCGGAGCGCACAGCGTCCTGCATGATGTCAAGTTGATGTATCTGCGGCGAATAAGACGGCAACACACAGTTAACGATTGCTAAAGTCTGCATACGCGCTGACGTAGGCTTGCTAACACATTATTTTATAAATGAAACGTCCACACCGGTTAACACTACATAACGTTGACATATTGTGAATCAAATATTGTGCTGGTCCTTAAAATTAAATAAACGTCATCAAATCGTAATTACGTGTATAATGAGAACTGTAATAAAATTCCGAACGATGGATGTTATGTCGCATCTTATCATTCTTCATCACTGCATCTGGGTCTTGGTGGTAATATTGTTTCTTGTGCAATAATTATAACATTTACTAAACATACAGTAGCAAAATGTTAAATCTTATCTAACCTAGACGTTAAACGAATTTAGTGGTAATTACCTACGGTAATTAAAAGTAATTGATGTTTATAGCCTACACGAAACATATGCGCTCGAATATTTGCAATTCTTTTAGGGCGGTAATTCCCGTAAAAGTAACTTTAAATAATTATTAAATAATGATAAAAGTAATTTTACTTAATTATAATACTGTATAAATTATTGTATTTATATTAATATTATTGTATATTTACACACATACACACAAACAAACAAACAAACGCACACCACACACACACACACATCACACGCACACACACATACATGCATACACACACACACACATGTATACACACCACGCCACACACACACGCACACACACACGCACACACACATACATGCATACAACACACATACATGTTACACTCACACACACCACACACACACACACACACACACATGCATACACGACTCTCACACACACACGCACAGCACACACACCACACACCACACCACACACACACACACACACACACACACACACACATGCACACACACACACCACACACACACACACACACACACACACACACACACACACACACACACACACACACACACACACACACACACACGCGCGCGCGCGCTATACTATTACTTATAATACTTATTATATATAAAATACGATTTTAGTGAGTAGTAGATATGCATTTTCTTTAGATATGCAGTTGATGTAGTTTTATACCTTTCCATACTTGATAAAAGCGATTCTCGGAACTAATATGCATTCTACTCTAGTGCACGTGATGATGTATGTGTCTTTCATATCCTCACCGACACCGAAGAAATGATGCTTCCTCAGCTTACATACCGACAGAAAGCGTTTCTCTGCAACGATGCCAAAGGCGCTCTGTGAAACTGTTTTGTCATGAACAAATATGTCAACCATTCGTGCAAAAATGTGTCAGCTTAGACTCGGCTATCGTGAAAAAATACAGTATTGATATTTGAGACTGCAGGTTTCCAGCGGCGAACTTATTACAACCAACCTGCTATTGACATACGTTTGCGAGTGTCCACGGTTGGCTTTTTAACTGTAGACGACACTTGATTTCTGCGCAACAGCGGCATCCCCAATTTGCCGTCTTCGCTGATTTCCTTGACCAACTTGCACTCGCCGGTTTGAATGAAATAAACATATTCCGGACTTTCGTTTGTGTTTCCTATTATGACCTTATTTGAACCTGCGTGAATATAATAACAAGTGTTTGCACGGAATAACGTTATGTCTACACTATTAATAGTGATAGTTATACTAGTTATGAGAGAACCGGCGTTGCCTAGTTGTTTTCTGAGCACTTAAAGGCTCCTCGGATATACGGACAGACTCATACGGATAGACTTCACGAAAAACGCAAGAAGATCGTATATATAGAAAGAAATCTTTGCGCTAAATCAATTTTTGGTAACCATGGTTATAGCGGAGCAGTAATTTAAACGAGAGACGAGGGAAGCACATGCGCGTACGTACAAACGCGCGCAAGAACGCATACACGCACGCACGCAAGAGCGTCGCGATCAGGTCGCATCATATAAGGTGACACGTATTCGATCGCGTGCGTGTTGTAAGCCGTCTTATACTGAGTCCCTGCGTGGTAGTTTGCATGCGTATGTGCATGCGTGCGTGCGTGCGTGCGTGCGTTCGTGTGTCCGTGTGCGAAAGTGCTCACGCCCTATCGTTTCTCTAGCATGTGTGCGTGGGAGTGTAAGTGTAATGTATGCGCTCTAAGTGCGCGCTCGCGCCTTATCGAATATATACAGACAGGTGTGAGTGTGCATGCGTGCGTGCGTGCGTGCCTACGCGCGCGTGCGCGTGTGGGTGTGTCCATGGTGTGTTGTGAACGCCCACACTCCTTATACCGAACTCCTGCATGAGCGTGTTGTGAGTGCAGGATTTGAGATCGATGTCGGACCAGTCGTCGAAGTGCGGCATGCCACGCAGCGCTCCGTAACGTTCCTCCCAGTCCCTCTGATACGCCGTGCTCAGCACCTCGTCAAAGTCTGGCTTGTCGACGCGGAGAAACTCAGAGTTCCCTGTAGCAACAGCATTACGGCATTACGAATGTACCTGTGTGAATTAACAGCCTATACGCAGTCAACGGTACTCAGCTATACCAACAGCCTGGTAAGTACGAACGATCAGGCGCATGTACGCGCGAAGACGAGCACATATTTTCAGATCGGTGCGAGCTTTTGATGTTTGCGTGCACGGGTCACTTGATCAGGTAATCCTTCACCCACCGACGTGGCGTAATGGTACGTCTCGGCCTACTTAGCAGCCGACCGATTTATTAGCCGCCTTAGTTCGCGTTAGATTATTATTGATGTGATCGCTTTCACGCAATCGTGCGCAATTCGATTCACTTAGATGCAAAGTCGCCGCCGTGAAATTTGATCGAGAATCCGAGCGCGTTTTACCTTTATGTCTAAGCGAATATTGCCGCCATTTTCGTTGCTACTCGCGTAACTGCTTAAAGTATTTATAAGCCGGAAATTCGGTTCATGTAGGCCTGTCGGAGCTTCTACAGTTTCCATGA